TGTCCATTTTGCTCTAGGAGTTCACGGTGACGTAACCCTAACCCTAAGTGGAATTTTCCTCCAATGGGATTTTCCCATGTATTTTACCAGGAAACATAGAAAGGGCAGCCTAGAAAAGTCAGTGCCCTCCTAACCATACCCAAGCACTCCTAGTTTGTTGGCGATGTCCATTTTGCTCTAGGAGTTCAGGTGACGTAACCCTAACCCTAAGTGGAATTTTCCTCCAATGGGATTTTCCCATGTATTTTACCAGGAAACATAGAAAGGGCAGCCTAGAAAAGTCAGTGCCCTCCTAACCATACCCAAGCACTCCGAGTTTGTTGGCGATGTCCATTTTGCTCTAGGAGTTCACGGTGACCTAACCCTAAGTGGAATTTTCCTCCAATGGGATTTTCCCATGTATTTTACCAGGAAACATAGAAAGGGCAGCCTAGAAAAGTCAGTGCCCTCCTAACAATACCCAAGCACTCCGAGTTTGGTGGCGATTTTTGTTTCTTCTGCCATCAAAGTGCTTCATAAAACGCTAACGCTGTAATCTACAAACCACATTAACGCAATTGAAATCGCTCTTAAAATTACACCAGAGGATTGCTCAGAAATCAAAAGCTCGGCCAAAGAGATGCGTTCTTACCTTGTCCCTAAGTACCCGGAAAGCGGGGCCCGTGAGCATCACCCAAAGATGCTGTCACACGGCCTGCCAGGTGTGCCAGAAAAGGCCCTTTCCGGTAGACTGCCAAGCTCTTCTAATGGGAAGGCCCTTGGAGAGGTCCCTCCCGCTATTTCCCACCAAAACTGCAATATTGAGAAGAGCGGTGGCGATCGCAACCTCCCACCCTGTTTCCCGCTTCCTCTTGGGGTTTTTACTGGGCTCCCAACCTTACTCCATTTCCATCCCTGTCTCTTTAAAAGGAAAAGCCTTAACCTCACTGAAAGTGGCAAAAAAAGGGGGGGGGGAATCCTCAAGGACAACTTACCTGTTTCCCCCCAGTTCCTTCTTAACAGCCACAGCAAGGGGTGGGGGGTCACCCATCCGGCGGAGGCTCTAGGCTGGAAATCCAGGGAGCGTGACCTCCTTTCTCAGGATTCTTTCTCAGGCTTAGTTGCCCCATCTGCATTTGTAAAATGACCCTTGGGCCCCGTTTTACAGCCGGAGAGGGCAAGACAGGTTCAGGGAACAGAACAGTCGGGATTTTGAGGTTATTCTTTTGCATCTGTATTATTAGAAGCCTTGATATTAATAATTATAGAGCAGGGCTTTTCAACCAGTGGTATGTGTACCACTTGTGGTACTTTGCCACATGGCCTGTAGACCGTGATTGCAAGTCAAGTGTAGTAGGGGAGGGGAATGAGCCTATCGTGGCTTATTAATATTAATAAGGTTTTAATAATAAAGAATAATCATCATCTTAAAATGCCATTAAAGAGGTTTATTTATTTTTGTGGCTGCAGTATCTGATTTGACAGAGTTTTCTGTCCCTTGGCTATAGGATGGAGGCCATTAAAAAAAGCCTACCATGGACTCCAAGCTAAAGCTATGAGACGGGAAAGTGTGCCCTCTTCTGGTCAAAAACGGGTATTGTGGCCACCAAAAGAAATAAACCTTTTTAATGGCATTTTAAATTCTCTATCTTTATTAACAGTATTAACACCTTATTAATAGGGCCAGGGGAGGCCCGTTTGCTGCAACGCAGGCGCGGAAGAAGAAATCTGCTTCAAAAGCCTTAAATCTAGTTAAGGAGGACTATGATGCCCTATTAATATTAATAAGGTTTTAATAATAAAGAATAACCTTAAAATGCCATTGAAAAGTTTTTTTTTAATTTTTATTTTTAACCAACAAAACAGAACAAAGCAAAATATAACACACATACACATACAATATATACTCCTTTTTTTTACAGCAATTACGTAACGGTAATCTAATATTTACATTTCCCCCTTATTCTTCTTTAGAATATTTGTCCTTATAGCCCCATTATTTCTTATTTACATTTTTCTTCCTACATGTTCTACTTCTTACTAAGAATAATTCATATTATTATACATTATTATAGACATATTTTCACTTTTGACCTTTCCATATTTATTCTCCTCTATTGAAAAGTTTTTTAATGGCTCCTCTACCTGCTTCAACCACAGGATGGCACTGTTTTTTGACCCTTAATAGCATTCAATAACTTCAATAGATAAATAATAATAATCTTAAAATCATATTAAAAGGATTTATTTCCTTTTGTGACTGCTATTCCTTCTTTAACCATAGGACTCAATTCTTCCCAGAGGGCTTGACTGCTTTAGTCTCAATAAATAACTTCCCCTCTCCCAGGAAACAGGCGATGGGAGCATAAGGGGGCCTCCTGTGGACTTTCCTCACTGTTTTTAAATATCCCTAGGCTACACCCAACCTAAGCAAAGCAGTTACCAACAGAATAAGAGACGTGGAGTTCCAGCTAGAACTTAACAGAATCTCTCTCTGCAGCAAGAAAATGGATTAAATGGGGTGTGTGGGGACCAGCAAGGTATCTGAAAGACCTGAGCTTTCCTAAGAATAGGAACCCTACCTCCTGCTATTTCCCACCAAAACTGCAATATTTAGAGGAGCGGTGGCAATCGCAACCTCCCACCATGTTTCCCACTGCCTCTTGCGGTTTTTACTGGGCTCCCAACCTTCCTCCAGTTCCATCCCCGTCTTTTTAAAAGGAAAAGCCTTAATCTCACTGAAGCTGGCAAAAAAGGGGGGGGGGAATCCTCAAGGACAACTTATCTGTTTTCCCCCAGTTCCTTCTTAACAGCCACAGAAAGGGGGGGTCACCCATTTGGCAGAGGGAGCGTGACCTCCTTTCTCCACTGCCTTTTCCAAAAAGGCTGAAGCTTTCAGCCGGCAGGCCTTTAGAGGATTGGTGTCCCCACCCTTCCTCCTGGCCCACATGGCTGCTACATCAGTCAATGCAGCTGTGACTGGGGGAGGTTAGCAAAATTGCAAGCCAGACTCTGCAAAGACCCGGGTCTCCTACTGCCCCCAGAGAGACCTGCTTTTCCTTTCTCGTACCTCTGGGTGATGGGTGGGTTGTTTACGGCAACCTGGAGAGGAAAGCAAGGAATTTCCTGCCCTTCCTAACCCTGACTTGCTTTGGACGAAGGTCTACAAAGTTAGATGGACGACGAACAAATTAATAAATGCCATTAGTTGCAACTTCTCACGTCTCATCCCTTTTATCCATCCTTTAAATGATAAACCTATAAGGGAACGATAGGTTATATACATTTTCAAAATAAACTACATTTATTTTTATATTGATCGTTTCTTAATAAAAATGCACACTATTTCAAATAGATATTTGATATTGCACCTATATTAATACATAGGTATCTCTAAGAAATATACTTTAGAAACATCAAACCTAAATACAAACCTACATACGTACGATCTCCTTAAAGAAATAGCAGGGCAGGACATCTTAGGGGAGAGGACCAAACGAGTGGCCGGGGTGGGGGCGGGGGCGGGGGAAGGTGGGGATCCCCCGCTAACTAGGTAACAGAGAAAACCGGTATCTTTCTGGAATCTGGAAATGCGGGGATGACTCGGCTCACCTGAGCCAGTAGCAGGCTTCCTTTTTTCCTTCCTGCGTGCGCTCCGTCAACGTAGTGCAGAAAAGAGGACGGGAAAAAGCAGGGAACCGTGCTGCGAATGGACAGGAAGTCGGACGTACTGGGAACGTCGTCGTCGGTGGTCATGCTACGGGACGGAAAACTGTGCCCTCCTGTGGTCGAAAACGGGTATTGCGGTCGCCGAAAAAAATAAACCTTTTAAATGCGATTTTAAGGCTATTTATTCCCCACCCCGTCTTTATTATTAACCCCTTATTAATATTAATAGGGCGGCGGGAGGCCCTTTTGCCATTTTAACGGTTTATTTCTTTTGGTGGCTGCTATACCCGGCATGGCCACGGGAAGGCACTGTTTTCCCTCCCTTAGCGATAGCGGCATTGAGGCCGTGGAAAAAGCCTACGATGGCCTCGATGGTAATGCTATGGGACGGGTATTGCGGCCGCCAAGAGAAAGAAGCCTTTTTAATGGGGTTTTAAAGGCTTACCTCGTTGATCCGACGTGGAGTCGGCCGTGCCCAGAAGGTCCGCGCAAAAGGAAGTTGAAGGATGATTAAGAAGGACGGGCCGGAAGTCGGCCATGTTGGGAAGGAGGAGGACGGCGAAATTGAGCGGACATGAGGTCGGCCATGCTGAGGAGGTCTCCCCGAAAGGAAATAGGGGGAAAGATTAAGAATGAAGGAACGGAAGTCGGACATGATGGAAAGGTCCTTTTACCGCAGCACCTGGGGGACAGCCGATACCGACGGACAGGAAATCCGCCCTGCAGAGAGGGCCTCTCGGACGTTACTCGTGAAGAACCAGCCGGCGGACATGCGCAGAAGACCGAGGGAAGCGGCCCGTCCCTTTCGGAGGAGCATAGAGTGGCGACCCTTTGGCTGGCGCTCTGCGCTTTGGGGCTTAGCTTCTCGGTGTCCCGATCCTGGGCAAAAGGCCTACCACGGCCTCCATGTTAATGCTATGGGACGGGAAACACTGCCCTCCTGTGGTCAAAAATGGGTATTGCTGCCGCCCAAAGAAATAAATACTTTTTAATAGCATTTGAAGCTTATTCTTCTCTATTTTTATTCTTAACGCCTTATTATTAATATTAACGTGGCGACGGGGGGCCCGGTCGGTGCCACACGGGCGCAGAAGAAATCCTGGTTCCAATCTTAAACCGAGTTAAGGCCTATTGTGGCTTATTCATATGAATAAGCTTTTAATAATGAAGAACAATCATCTTAAAACGCTATTAAAGAGGCTTATTTATTTTTGTGGCTGCAGTATCTGATTTGACCAGTTTTCCGTCCCTTAGTAGGGCTGGCTCAGGAATTCTGGGAGTTGAAGTCCAGGAGTCATAAAAGAGCCAAGGTTGCCTACCCCTGCCCTAGACCATTCCAGACAAGTGGCTGTCCAGTCTCTTCTTAAAAACCTCCAGTGATGGAGCTTCCACAACTTCTGAAGGCAAGCCGTTCCACTGGTTAATTGTTCTCCCTGTTAGGAAATTTCTCCTTAGTGTGACTACGAGCTCTGAGAAGGTAGGTCTAGGTGCAGAGAAAAACTTATCCGTGCATCCCATCAGAATAAGTTAAACGTTTAATTTCCCCATTCTCTGCTATCTTTGAATCCAGATTGTTAGTTGCCTGCTAAAATTCCATGACCCCCAGATGATTAAAAGTGTCCTTGTTCATTTTTTTCAGGTTTTGAAATTAACTTCATTAAGAACTGGAATACCAACATGCTTGACAATTATGACTATTCGTCCATTATGCATTATGGGAGGTATGGAAAATTTATTTACTTATTTATTTGGAAGGTTTATAAGGCCGCCCACTCACCTTTGTCACTCTGGGAGTGATATGATGTCAGACAAAAGATACCATACCACTTTATAAAGATGAATTTGCATTTGAAAAGGGTACATTGGGGTTTCAGTTAATATGACATTTAAAGAAAGCAGCATGAGCTTAAAAAAATAACTTTGCGGCTAATTCATCTTCATTATTACAGAAATTAGGAACGGTTCATAGAAAGCATTATGAATGCAAATGACCATACCATTTTCCCTTTTTTTAAAAAGTACAGAATATTGCCATATTATTATGAACAGGGTTTTTAATGATTTGCACCTTTTTAATTTAATATAGGTCATACTGAGAAAAATATTCCACTCATTGGGTACATTCTGTGCATGGAGAAGGTGTCTTTGTAGTTTGTGTGTGTGTGTGTGTGTGTGTGTGTGTGAGAGAGAGAGAGAGAGAGAGAGAGAGAGAGAGAGAGAGAGAGAGATGGGGGGGGGAAATGGGAAAAAACTTTCTCTGCCTAAGATCTGTTATTTTTTGTCCTGGTTTCACTTGGTCTACTACAAAAGGGAAGTTTGAGCTACATCATCTTCTCACCATTTTCAGGAATGCTTTCAGTATGACTGGCTTACCTACCATCATCCCACTTTCTGGTCCTCCTGCATTCCTCGGCCAAAGATGGAACCTGAGTGTTTCGGACATTGCAAAAGTCAACAAACTCTACAAATGTTCTCAGGTTGCAGCCCAGCCAGGTAATGCTCAAAATGAGTCAAGTTCTTGACAGTAATCAAGAGAGCTAGTTTCTTACAAAATCTTATTGTCATGTGTATCACAAGGAGAAAAAAGGTTGGATTAGATAATCTTCATGCACGATTATGGATATGTAGAGGGTAAGGAAGATGAGATAGGCACAACTTCACACGGCTTGCCTTGCGCATTGGCTGTTTTAACATTATGGGATTCCCCGATTGCACTAAACTGTGTTTTCTTGGGCTTTGGTTTTTAAGGGGTAATGTGAATTCAACTCTGGTTGATAAACCAGGTTTTCTGGCTTGCTCACCATGAATCCAAGCAATTATGGCTTATTCAAGTTGTCATAATAAGGCAAAACTGGACTAGCAAATGTGTAGGGAATGTCTTTTTCTATGACCCAGCAGCACGTGGTTATCTAATTTTTTGTATTATATTTCCAGAAGTGGTGCCTGAGAAAGCCATCAAAGAGAAGGTTATGGACTTCATCCCTGTTCATCCTGAGCTCTGTTCTAAAACCAATTTAGCCAGTACTGTTGTTAGAAAGACTACAGAGCCCATTTTGTCATCTCGAAAGACTGTTGGTGAAGATCTAAGCACAGTAGCAGGTCAGTTGAGGAGAACAGAGGGGGCAGAACAAAGCGTGGTGGTATCTGCCATGACCTCTCACATAGGAGAAGCAAGCAGAGAACTTCAGATGCCTTCAAAACATGTGCTGGATACAACACAAACTAGACAGGCAATAGACAGTGTTCTTGAGAAAGCTCCTACACCATGGACTTCCCAGAATCCAATCACTGGATGGCAGTTGAGATACCAATATCTGAAAGCGTATACACCAACTGAACAAAGCCCCATAGAAACAAGAGCAAGGGCTGCTTCAGAAATGGAGCAGACATCTTCCTCTCTTGCCAAAGGTTTTGTCCTTTCTTCAGTGGGAAAAACCCATGGAGCTATAACACCATTTGGTCAGAAAGAAACTAGTATGGAAGTTTCTGGCTCAAAAGCCACAGTCCTAGAGCCTACAGGAGAACTGTCTACAGCGGTGGAGTTGGCAGGCTTGTTGGACATGGGAGGTAATGAGACAGACATTGGAATGGGTTCTCCAAGGTCCCCCCTATCTGTGGTGGAGGAACACTCCAAGGGACAATCAAAGAAGGCGTTCCATCAAGCCATAACTGTTTCTATGAATGAAACAGGCAGCCCAGCTTATATACATCCAGTGGAGGATGTTTTGACTAACGTGACTAGCTCTTTATCTCTCTCTGGTACCCTTGGGAACCCAACCACCACCTCCAGCCATATGGAACTGGGAGAAAAACATCAAGGCACTAAAGTGGAAGGCCTGACAAACATTGTCACCATTTCTGGCTCAAAGTGGAGGGATGTGGACGCAAAAAGTTCATACCACGAGAAATCAACTATGCTTCCTTACATTCAATCTCCCAGCATCAAAAATACACATGAACCTGGAGAAGTTCTACTTCCTAGAAAGGAGACACCAGTTCCTGTAACTCTGGAAACTCAAACAAAATACATGGGTTGATTCATTTCTGAAGCACCATCATCTCTTCAGGGAGTGGTCACTGCCCATCCTGTTGCTTCAGAGTTAAAAGAGAACGGTTCCTTGTATAACAATTCTTCTGGGATAACAGGTTCATTTTCACTGCCACCACCTCACCTGGCAAGAAATGGTTATGAATGGGGGACATCCATTACTGGTGAGCCTCCTGGATCTGTTTCCTTGAATGTTACAGAAAGTCAAGTGGAGGTTGAAAGCCATACCATGGATCATGCAGAGTTGCCAAGTCAAATTCCCACTTGGGGGAAAGTGGCTTCATTAGCAATCAAAACCATTGTGGCTGTCCAGCCTACAGAGCAAAGCTCTAAAGACAGCAGCAGGACCAAGGGACAATAGGACTTGGTCCCAAACAAGCAGTGACATGCATCACCATCCCAGGTTCATCACTGAGGGATGGTCTCCATCTGCAGATGTAGAAAAACAAACACTGGAGAAGACTATAGAAACAGCATCTATGAAAACGCTAGCGAGGTTACCAATGACTCAAAAGATGGATGTGGTCCACAGGGAAAGACCTAGAAGAACCACTTTGACGAGACAATTTCCCACGGAACCATCTGGGAACCAAGTGTTCACCCAAGTTGAACAAGGGGATGAAGAAACTCAAAGTCAACATTCTTCTACTTTGTCAATAAAAACTGGAGCTGAATATCATGAGATTCAAACCAGCAATTCTACTAGTAGGCTGAGGGCAATGGTGTCTCCAAAACAATGTGGTAAGAAATTAGCAGTGTCTGCATCTGAAACACTAACTCCACACATGGAGCACACTGCTGAGAAATTCAGCTCTTTAAACAGGCAAACAGAATTGGGAACTACTGGCAAAAGGAGTCCAAAGCCAGAAATTCAAGAATCTGGCCCTACTTCAAGTTGGATATTTCAGCTAGGGAGAGAAAGAGATACTTCTCCCAGAAGTTTGGGTAGTTCCATGAAGCCAGGAGGTAGAAATGGAACCACTAATTCTGCAGAGCATCTTAAAGAAGAGACTTTATTAGTGAAAGTGAAGGAATTCACGCAAATAACTCCAAAGAAAAGGACTCTAGAGATTACTGTGATAAACGGTACCAGATCTGCTGCATTACTAACTGTTGGTTCTTTCAGTTTTTTCACCATTTTGGCTCATGGCAAGCCAACTCTCAACAGACCCCAAAGCCGTTTTTATTTGGGGGACACAGATTCTGTAACACATCCTGAAAGCCTGTCTACGCGATCTCTAGAACTCAGCCCAGAAACAGAACTTTCCTTCCAGCTTAATAAAACTGTCTCTTCTGCAGAAGAAAGATCTGTCATGGCAGCCAGTGCAACAGCAGGATTGACTGTGGGTGGGATGAGCTGGGTCACAGCTCATGTTCAGGAAGGTGCAGCTGGGAGACATAGTACAGGGCCTCCTTCATTAGAAATGCAATCAATGTCTCTAGAAGGAACAGCCCCACCGCTGGTCACAGGTTCCTTACAGTCTCCCGAGCTTGTGAGCCCAAAAGAGGGATCTGTCGGTGGCCATCGTAGAACAGCTACATCACTTCCAAGGGACACATCCCCCATGGGCACTATAGTTGCACTATCTACTGATTTGTCCAGTGCTATCATTGTGGACTCTAGGGAAAACCAGACTATGATGCATTATGATTCAAAACGGGTCACAGGTATCCCTCCCAAAACAAGTGGAGAGATAGAGATGGACACCAATGGTAGCATTCTGGCTTCAACTGAAATCCATAGAACATCTCATGCTGGAGTTTCTACCAGGGGGTCCCATGAGAAACACACAGAACTTCTACAATTCCAGTCTGAACCACAAACTAGAGTAAAGCCTTTAGAGGAAGTCACTGGGCCAATATCAGATGGGAAAACTTCAACCCATTTTCTGGAAGAGACATGGAAGATCCTTACAAAAGAAAATGATGCATACAGATCAGAGGAGTCAGCTGCTGCTGAACTCACAAGGACTGAACAGGAAGGATCTGAACAAAGTCATATCAGCACAGCAGGTGCCACCAGTCTAGGTATGGAATCTTCATCTCAGTTAATTTCCACTAATTCCACCAAGGAAACAGAAGAATCCACAATCTTCAATGAGAAGAAATGGAATGTATATCACACTGCCAGTCCTTCTAGCCAATCATATTATGTTGCTTTCATTCCTCCCCATTCAAACGCCACAACACCAAATGTGGTACCATCTGTTTCTGATGTCTATAACCCTCATGATACAGAGAAGGTAAAAGCTGCAGATGTGTACCATATGGTCACAAAGTTCTCTAAAGGGGCTTTGGTGCATACTGGAATATCTCTTTCCCAGCTCCAAACTCTTGGCTCAACTGAAACGGAAAGGAGGTCTTCTACAATGTATGGAGCCAAAAGTCTGGAAGAAGCCACTAAGACTCCTGCAAGAGTGAAAAATGGAGAACTATTTACTCTTGCAACGGAATCATCCAGACAAATCTCTGAGACCCATGTTGCAGTGACACTAGAAGAGATGACTGGGGGCCATAAGAACAAAAGGAATCTAGAAGAAAACAAGTCTTTTTTTGCAAGCAATCCTGTCCATCTCCACCATATCAACAAGAGATCCCTGCTAGGAATAACGGCAGCTCCATCTTCTTTCATATTGTCTTCACTGGCTCCTCATTCTAAGCTGTTGCACTCAAATATTGGACATGTAAATCCCAGAAGGCTGAGCATAAAGAAATTGTTCCCAAAGAAGCGTATGCGTAAAATCATTACGGCTTCTTCAGGTGGGACCATACAACAACTGCTTCTTCCTGGATATTTACAAGGATACCGGAGTCATCCTGCCATTTCAATAGGAAACATGACGACACCAAGGGAGCCTGAGAAACCTTTATTGAGGTCCACTTCAAAATCCAAATTATGGACTCTTCTCCGAAAGTTGTCTCCTTCTGAAAAAAAGAGAGGAAATAACCAAGGGCCCAACCAGAGAACAACAGATAACATGTTGCTATCCTGCTCCTTCAAGGAGAACCTGTGTGGCTGGAAGCAAAGTCAAAATGACAGCCTAGACTGGATGCTTCAGAAGGAGGAAGAGAAGACTGCTGAGTCCATGGAAGATGACAGAATTTCCGAGAAGCCCTTCAGAAGTTTAGATGGTAAGGGATATGATCTGATCTGAAGTCTTAAAAAGTAAAATGTCTCTCCCATTTCTGATGTTATATCTGGGTCTTCCAAATTTTTATTTATCTGCGCCTGTCTGTTGGTTTCTTCTTTCAAATCCTCTATCTTTATGTCGGTTTCCTTTATTTTTTTCTTCTGATTTCTCAGTTTCTAGTTCATTCTTTATGGTCATTTTCTGAATGTTTTTTTGCTTGTAAGTTTAAGTTGGAGAGTTGCTCATTTATATTATTTAAATTATTTTAGTCTCCCATCTTGCTTTTTTAAGGTTCAGCTTTCACAATCATAGATAGCTACGGGGAACACAAGCGAGCAAACTAACCTACATTTGGTCACCGTGCTTATGTCCTTGCTTTTCCATACTCAGATATGGAGTAGGCCTCATAAATGGGTTTCAGTTTGGGTCTCTCCCTCTTCCCTCTGACCTCCTAACTCAGGGGTAGGCAACCTCGGCTCTTTTATGACTCATGGACTTCAACTCCCAGAATTCCTGAGTCAGCATAGCTGGGAGTTGAAGTCTATGAGTCATAAAAGAGCCCAGGTTGCCTACCCCTGTCCTAATCTATGGGAAAAGTCAGGTCTCCACAGCTTTCCAGAAGGCTAAAAGGGGAGGGGTGTCTCTGATCTCTGGTGGGAGGCTGTGCCAAAAGAGTGGGAGGTCACCAAGAAGGCATGGCTATGAGCTCCCATGAGATGGGAGGGGGACAGGCAGGTACCGTCAGGGAGAGCCCATCCTGCAAGTAACTTAGCCCTGTGCCATGGAGGGTCTTTCAAGTTGATAACCAGCACCTTGAATTGCCTCAGAAAAGTAACTGGAAACCAGGAGTTGAAGGGAGGAGCTTCAGATCTCTTGATTATGACAGGCTAACTTGTGTCCACATCATTTCTTCACCAGGCTATATCTCCCTCAAGCCTTCAAGTCATCTCTCAAAGCAAAGGGCTGTTTTGATCAGCCCGGTTGTGTACGGCATCAGATGTCTCCAGTTTTGGTACAGATCACCAGACTGTGCTGCAGGTAAATGTCTTCAGCCCTATTGGCTGGAAAATCTGGGGGCTGCATTCCCAACAGGGCTGGGGGTTGCATTCTGAGAAGGGTTCCAGGCTGGATTAAGCGATCCTGAAAATGGTGAGCCAAACATTTAGTCGCGACTTACAACAGTAATTGAGCTTGCAATTGCACGGCTGTTGGAACTTCAAAAACGGGCCATACATAGCTTTGGGAAGAGTCACTGTCACTTTGAACAGTGATTAAATGAGGACTAATTGTAGTGATCTTCAAGAGAAAAAATGTGAGTTTTTTTTCGTTCTGTAGATAGCTGGTCATAGAGCTATTTATATTTTGTAGGCAAAATCAACTTCTACACAAAGCTTCTGAATTCCACTGACTGGCAGAAAGTGAGGTCAATAAAGGGAAAGCAAGATGTTGGTTGGCATCAAGTGACCTACTTTCCACAACTTGGACATTACAGGTAAACATTCGTGGCATGTCCTAAAGGCAGAGGTTTCCCCTGTCCAGTCATGTCTCTCTTTCTTAGCTGAGGGAGCCAGCATTGTCCAAAGGCACTTCTGTGCTCATGTGGCCAGCGTGGCTTTACACCAAGGGACATGGAATGCTGTTACCTTCCCACTGGTAGTACCTACTTATCCCCTCGCATTTACATGCTTTCAAACTGTGGGAGAAGAACAGGAGCTCATCCTGTTGCACGGTGCTCGGGTCTCAAACTGCCAACCTTCCAGTTGACAAACCCACTGTCTTAACCACTAGGCCACTGCCCCCACTCCATGTCCTAAATACATATTGTAAATTAAACATGAATCAGGTACATGTTATGATACAGAGGAAGATCAGATGTGTTATTTCCTCCCCATCCCAAAATTCAACAACCTGTTTTCTAAGTAATCCTATCAACCTGCCTCCATTGTTTTTATGTTATATAGGCTGACAGGTACCTTTAAAAATGGCTCGCTGGAAGCTTTTCCAAGATTTAAGCAAAAGATGCTGCCAAATTAGTAATTGTTGATGTTGCCACTTGACAAAACCCTTAAATCTGTAAGAAGTAATCATAGGGACTGTGTTTAATTATAACGCATTAAATGGTGGTGGTGACAGCGCCCTGGTCCTCTCTCCGCTTAGAATGTGCCTCTACCTAATGAAAGATAGCACACGCTTGAAAACTGTTTCCTTTTTCTCCCAGAAATGTAATTCAATTTTTGGGGGAATGGTCCGAGTGGTTAGAATGTGCTCTTTTCCATGTGCTCTCTCCACAGGTAGCGCTCGAAGGCATTGTTGGCAACAAAGTAAGATGTAATGCTCAAATGGATGATCTGGTTCTCTGTCAGAAGCCCTGTGGGCAGTGTTTACCATAGAATGATCAGCATTCTGTGTCACAAATTAATCACATAAATATAAAGCATACAGCAACCTTGGATTAACAGTTTCAATGATTGCCCTTCTTCCATATTTCATAGAATCTCTCTTCTCTCCTCTCCTCTCCTCTCTCTCAAGTCCTGTACTTTTTTTTTTTTTGCATTTCTTCTTTCATTTTCACATACCTAGCCCTAACCCTTTCCATGACTCTCTTTTCATACTTTGCTTAAATGGTTCTTATTCTGCATAATGCCCAGGGATTATATACGGTCCCTTGGGAAAGTATATAGCTTATTACAAAAACAGATTTCATTCTTTGCCTAAAAACACCACACGTTCTATAGATTTCCTAGGCTTTCTATACAATGCCAGCTTTTCACAGGTTGCTGGTAACTTAACATTTCTATATCCCCGCAGGCAGCAGCAGAAGGGATGAATGAGTTAGGGCTGAAGGGAGGAGGAAGCGAAACCAGACCGACAAAGGGGCCTCCTTTGGCATGATCAATTTGCAAAAGGGGGCATTTCATGGTTCAGCCCTATTTTTTTTTTACATCAGTCACATTTTAGCTGCAGTAGATATTAATTTTAATTCATTAAAATTTCATGAGCGAGCATAGGTGCTGATGCAGGGAAAGGGAGACTCCGAGTCTGTTGCTGTGAGTTGCACTTTGATGGAATTCTCTTTCCTGAACGCGGTTAGCTTAGGAAGTTTGCTTTATGGCTTCAAAGAGACGGCGCCAAAGAGGTTGATCGGGAAAATGGATAAAATGCAAAAGTTACTGCTGTGGGGAAAGGCAGCATTAAAAAGTCAAGATGGAGGTTTTTAAGAAGAGATTGGACAGCCCCTCGTTCAGAATGATATATAGGGTCTCCTGCTTGAGCAGGAGGTTGGACTAGATGACCTCCAAGGTCCCTACCAACTCTTACCTTTTCCAGCACTGATAGAGACATATGTCGGGATGAGTTTCAGAGTCCCAACAGGAGAGTAAATGTCTCCCTCACGTGGTATCTTCCAGCCACATTGTGCTTCCAACCCTGTAATTTCCAATCTTCTGGCTGGGAACGATGGAAGCCAGGTGGATGGCACAAAATTGCAGAAAGATAATCGGGTTTATACATTTCTTTTCCAGCAGAGGGCAGTCTTGTGCTGTGCTTGTCCATCGCTTGTGCTAAGAAGAGAGAGAGAGAAAAAAAATAGGAAGTCTAGTTGCCTCTTTTCTGACTGCCGATTTCATGAGAGGAGGGGAGGGGAGGGGAGGGAGCAGGAGAAGAGGGGAAGGGAAGGGAGGGAACAGGAAAGGAGAGGAGGGGAGGGAAGCGATGGGACAGGAGAAGAGGGGAGGAGAAGGAAGGGAAGAGAGGGAACAGGAGAGGGGAGGGGAGGGGAGGGGCGAGGGGAAGGGAGAGAAGGGGAGGGAAGTAATAATAATAATAATAATAATAATAATAATAATAATAGTGATGATGATGATGATAAAGTTGGAAGGGACCTTGGAGGTCATCTAGTCTAACCCCCTGCTCAGGCAGGAAACCCTATACCATTCCAGACAAACGGCTGTCCAAATCTCTTCTTAAAAAACCTCCAGTGTTGGAACACCCACAACTTCTGGAGGGAAGCTGTTCCACTGGTTGATTGTCCTTGCTATTAGGAAGTTCCTCCTTAATTCCAGGTTGGATCTCTCCTTCACAGGTTTCCATCCCTTATTTCTTGTCTTGCCCTCAGTTGCTTTCAAGAATAGGTTGATCCCCCCTCCCCCTTCTTTGGGGCAGCCCATCACGCTCCTGGTCCTCCTCTTCACTGGGCTCTTCTCTTCATTAGACTAAAAGGCAGAAGCTTTTGCTTTATCAGAAACGGAGACTGGCTAGACTGATGTCGGGAATGATTGGAGTGAAGATGCAGGCAAGGGAGGGGGGCAGATGTAGGTTATATGTGAGGCAGAGGACAAGGACCTTATCAGTGCACAATTGTCCTCTGTTAAAAGCCTATTATGCTTTTGAGACCTTCTGAAATTGCCGGCAACCTTTGGATGTTTGCGAGGTCAGCAACCTTAGACTGAATAATGGAGTTAAACGCTCCTAAAGTGCCACTTTGAGGTCTGCCATGGCGCGTCCTAGGAGGTTGAGATGTTGCAATGCTCCACTGTTTCTCTTCTGAATCCTGACCTGACCATTAAATCTTTCAGACAGTTGTCCCTTTTCTCCCAAGAGAAGAGGGGTCACCAACCTTGGTCACTTTAAGACTTGTGGACTTCAACTCCCAGAGTTCCCCAGCCAGCATAGCCAGCATGAAGTCCACAAGTCTTAAAGTGCCCAAGGTGGGAGACCCCCTGCTAGAGAGGATCCAGACGGTGTGTCAGTTCTCTAGCATCCCCGCTTTTAGGCTTTGTGTGATATGCCTGTCTGTAAGCTAAACATGGTTTGCTCAACTCATCCTTTAGCCTTTTCATAACGTATCGAACCCTAAAAAGACCACACAGGTTGGCTGTTCACAACTTATGAAGCTAACATGAAATTTCTGGCTCCATGGATGGGCAGAGACAAAATACAGATTAAATCAATATATGTGATTCCCTGGAGCATCAATTTCACGAGAATTAATTAATTCCCGTAAGCCCTCTTCTTCTCAGAAGGCTTGTTCTGGTCCACCATACATTACTGAAACTTATTTCTTTATTTCCATTATGTTCCCTTGGGGAAAATGTAAGGGGACGGTTACCCTGAACAGAAAAAAAGCAGAGATCTCAGTGGTGGTTCCATTTGGAACAGAAGAACCAGATTCCTTCCTTTATTTATATATTTGTAACATTTATTAGCCACCCATCTTACTATAAAGTAAACTCTGGGCAGCTTTCACAGTTTATGAATAACAGGATAGCAGAGTTGGAAGTCTTTCTAGTCCAATTCTCTGAAAGCAGAGCTTACAATATTAAAAGATAAAATTGTACGAAACCCTACTCATATAAATATATATTATAAAAATCCAGATAATCAACCTAGCTAAAAAATGGGGAGGGAGGGAGTAGGATGAGAAAGGGAAGGGGTGGGATCTGTTGTTAATCTATCAGTCACCCCCAATGTGAAGCAGGAAAAAACCAAAGGTACAAGTACAGATAAAGTGAAGCCTGGCTCAAAAACGGCAACTGTGAGAGGGAGCTTGGAGTCTTAGTGGAGGATCACTTAAACATGAGCCAGCCATGTGCAGCAGCAGCCAAAAAAGCTAATACAGTCCTCGGTTGTATAAACAGAGGCATAGAATCAAAATCACATGAAGTATTAGTACCGCTTTCTTGAAGCCTTAATAAGGCCACACCTAGAATATGGCACCTCATTACAAAAAAGATGTTGAGACTTTGGAAAAAGTGCAAAGAACAACTAAGATGATTAAAGGTCTGGAGACTAAAACATTTGAAGAATGGTTGCAGGATGGCCAGTCTAGGAAAAAGAAGGACTAAGGGGGACATGATAGCATTATTCCAATATTTGAGGGGCTGCCACAAAGAGGAGGGGCTCAACCTATTTTCCAAAGCACCAGAAGGCAAGTCAAGAAACAAGGGAAATTTCTCCTTGAGTTCTAGGTTGCTTCTCTCCTTGGTTACTTCCCATCTGTTGCTTCTTGTCCTGCCTTCAGGTGCTTTGGAGAATAGCTTGATGCCATCTTCCTTGTGGCGGTCCCTCAGATATTGGAACACTGCTATCATATCACCCCTAGTCCTTCTTTTCATAAGACTAGGCTAGACGTACCCAAGTCCTGCATATGTTTTAGCCTCCAGCCCCCTAATTGCTCATCTCTGAATGTTTTCCAGAGTCTCCGCCTCTTTTTTATATTGTGGTGACCAAAACTGGATGTGACATTCTGGACGTCTTGACAGACACCCACCTTAACCACTCCTCAGTGGTTCTGCAGCTGTGGCTTCCAGCCTCCCCCTTGCCCCCAGCACAAGACCCTGTGGTCTCAGCGAGCAGGAGCTGGCTCCGGGAGATGAGACGTTCCCCATTTTGCACGGTCTGCGCAGCCCCTCCGCCCTCCTTTGCCCTCCCACCATCTTCTGGCTCCATCGATCATCGCAAGCCGTCTTCAGCATCCTTGGCTCTTCAGAGCACTTAGCAGAGGCAGCCTGCAGGTTCCTCTGAGATTACTATTACCGTATCTCCACCCTTTCCTCAAACGGTTCCATTCTGCTTGATGGAGGCGGAAAAAATGCCTCGGAGAGAAAACAAAAACTGACAGAAAAAAAATACCCTGTGATACAGGCAGTCCTTGACTTACAGGCACGACTGTGCAAGATGGTTAAGGATGTACAACAATTTGCCCTGTATTCCTTCCTTTCTTCCCACAGTGTGAAGTGAATCACTGCCCTTGTGAAGTTAGTAACACAGTTGTTAAGTGTGGCTGGCTTCCTCATTGGCTTTGTCTGTCAGACAGTTGCAAAAAGGGGACCACGTGATCCCGGGACACGGCAACCGTCATAAATGTGAGTCAGTAGCCAAGGGTCCGAATTTTGATCACGTGTCCCTGGGGATGTCACAACGGTCGTGTGAATAACAATCATGTCACTTTTTGGTTGTATCTACAAACAGTCCTTTAAACGAATGGTTTTACGTCAAGGGCAATCCTATGTCTCTGCAATTATTCCTAAATTGCAACAAATTTGTTGATTTTTCGTAAGGAGCATCTCTTTGGATAGGGTAAAGGATTTTGAAATCATAAGTCACATTTTTCAGGGCTGTTGTAACTTCAAACGGTCCCTAAACGAAGTTGTTAGTCAAGGACTCTCTGTACATCCAAGATTGGATAATTTTTAGCAGTCTTACTAATTTATTGTGCAGGTGGGAAGAGAAATTGCTTCTTTCCTCACCCATGAAGTGATAGTGACATTTCCTTTGTAAATAAACATCCCCCTTTTGTACCATTGACAAGTCATCAACTCCCGGAGAGCGTTAGAGGTGCTTCCTCTGTAATTTTGCAGCAGTTTTATTGTTCTTATAAATGCATGCTAAACACACACCCATACACATCTTATGAAATCATGAAACAACCCTCAGGAAATTCAACATTTGTTTGCCTTAATTGCATTTGAGATGATTTGTGGATTTATTTGGCCATGTATGGGCACAGCCATCACCAGTGCACAAACGTATTAGAAGCAAAATTAAAATGGGAGGACCGGTTTTCCGGACTTTTTAGATCATTGCCTGAATCACAGGATTTTTCCCCTCAAAAATCTGGCTTGTTGGGCTCTTAAGAAACTATGACCATAAAAAAAGATTTTTCTTAGATCCTGGCTACTTAGGAGGAGAATGAATAAACCCCATTCTCTCCCATGAGAGATGTGCTAGCATCATTTATGATTTATTATGTTGGCTGCAAATTCTGGGAACTGCAGTTTAAAATTGTCTGGAAGGCATGGTGTGAGAGTTCGGACTGGAGAACTTAGCCCAGGTTTTCATTGTTACCAATCTGGCAAATTCATTTCAATGAATTAAAGACTTCAAAAACAAACAAACAAAAAAAAAAACAACCATCAATGCTAACTTATGGTCGTATGGGGGGGCATTTCTCCAAACACATGCGCTTAATTTGTAATTGCCTAATAGATCCTTTTTGCAAGACATTCTCCCTTAAGAGGATGCATTGATGTGCATTATGTTCATGGCTGTATGTCTTTTGATAGGCTTCCCCCTTTTTAAACATGTTAAAGGACACTGAAAAACTGAGAAATTTATGACTGTTGGAAGAGAATGAAGTTTCCACTTGTATTCTGGATTGAAAAGGTAAAAGTACAGATATTCACATTCACCTGGAAACTAAATTAATTTCACTTCCCTTCCTAGTGGAGACTGCAACCTTTCCTTTCCTTTCCTTCCTCTATTTCCTTTCCCTTCCTCTATTTCCTTCCCTTCCCTTCCCTTCCTCTATTTCCTTCCCTTCCCTTCCCTTCCTCCCTCCCTCTCTTCCTTCCCTTTTCCCTATCCTCCCTTCCTTCCTCTGTTATCTCTGTCCACCATGCCTCCCATTTCTGGAAAACAGATCTTCTCTTCTTCCTGCTGCTCCAATATTTTTGCCTGCTGATCAGAAAAGAGCTGCCTCTTCTGAAAGCGGAGACTTTGCGAGAGAAGATGGACAATGAGCCGGCAGGGTCCTCCCTCCTGGGACGTTTTCTGCCCATCCTTCAGTTTGTAAACTGCTCAGAATCCCCTTACAAAGATGGGTGGTATAAGCATTTAATGAATCAGTTTGGCTAGATTGTGCCAGGCGCTGTCCCACTTAGTCAGGTCTGCTTTGGGTTCCACACCAAACCGTTTCCACTTCCATCAGGGGTGTCCACAGGAAAGTCGGTCAAAAAAGTCAAGATGTCAGCCCCATCCACAGGATCAAAGCTCCAAAGGGTGGAAATTGATCGGAAAAAAGGGCAGGGCTGGGGGGGGGCGCTGACCAGCTTGACTTTTCTGTATCCTCTGGCTTTGTGCAGTGATGGGAGTCTGAGCCAACATTTAATTCAGAAAACAGATCCTGCATCAAAGTTACCTGATGGGAAGCAGAACAGCAGCTGGCTGGGGCCAAAGCTTCTCTGAGTCATCCCACGCCTGGCCTTGGCAGGCGAGCACCGTAATTCATTTACCTGTGCGGCCAGCTAGGCACCCCAGGGCTGCCTGATGCTGTGAGCTCAGGCAAAAGAGGAAAGATTCAGTGGCAGATGAGGAAAACCAAGCACTCTCTCTCTCTCTCTCTCTCTCTCACACACACACAGACACACACACACACACACACACACACACTCACTCCATCTTTCTCCTCTCTCAATCTTTCTCCTCTCTCTCTCCTTTCTCTCTTAATCTCTTTCTCTTCTCTCTCTCTCCCTGTGTCTCTCTCTCCCTCTCAATCTTTCTCCTCTTAATCTCTCTCTCTCTCTCTCTCTCACACACACACACACACTCAATCACTTTCTTTTCTCTCTCTGTCTCCCTCTCAATCTTTTTCCTCTTTCTCTCTCTTCTTCAATCTCTTTCTTCTCTCTCTCCTCTCTCTTTCTCAATCTCTTTTGCTCTCCTCTCTCTCTCTTTCTCTCTCCCCCTCCTGCTCTTCCAAGAAGGGGGCGTGGGGGTGTCTGTCCTCCTCCTCTGCTTTTGTTCCCCCTCGCAAGAGCTCCACAACTGCCTGACATCACGCGTCGCCCATTCAGCGTGGAGAAGGAAGAAGAGAGAAAGGGGGGGGGGGGAAACCGCGCTCCCCCCGCCGCAGCTCCTCTCAAAAGGCGCCGGCAGCCTCGCCCGGCGCTCACAGGGCGCGGAGGAAGCGCCTCGCAGAGTTGAGCATGCATCTCCCAACTTTTGCCCGAGAGAGGCGGCGGCGGCGGCGGCGGCGGCGTCTGCAGGGGAGAAGGTCCGGGGCCCCTGCGGGGCTGTGAGTTGCCCGTCGGCGAGAGGGGCCAAAAGGAAAGGAGCGTCCGGGGGGGGGGTGGATCATCTGCCGGGCTGAGCCTTAGCAGGCTAGCAGCAGGAACGGTCGGAGTTTGCGGCTGGCAGAGCAGAGGCTTCCCCGGGTTGAATCCCAGGACGGGAGCAGGTCCCGGCGCCCCAGTTTCTCTCCCCCTGGCCTTCTGCTCCTCCTCTTCCTCTGGATCCGGTACAAATGGAGGCCTCTGAAGGGTGGCCCTCCAGGCGCCCCTGAAGCTGAGAAACTAGCCCCCCTCCCTGGGGTGGGCCACCTCAAAATGACCATGGGCACCTTAGAGGGCAAGGAGAGCTACAGCCTCCAAGCCACGGCCACCATCGCTGCGGTCACCACTTTCCTGATCCTCTTCACCATCTTTGGCAATGTTCTGGTGATCATCGCCGTCTTGACCAGCCGGTCCCTGAAGGCTCCTCAGAACCTCTTCCTGGTGTCCCTGGCGGCTGCGGACATTCTGGTGGCCACCCTCATCATCCCCTTCTCCCTCGTGAACGAGCTGATGGGCTACTGGTACTTCAGCAAGAGCTGGTGCAAATCCTACCTGGCGCTGGATGTCCTCTTCTGCACAGCTTCCATTGTGCATCTCTGTGCCATCAGCCTGGACCGCTACTGGTCGGTCAGCCAGGCCATCGAGTACAATTTCAAGAGGACCCCCCGGCGAATAAAATGCATCATCCTGATGGTGTGGCTGATTTCGGCCTTGATCTCCCTGCCCCCGCTGGTCCTCAAGGAGAACCAGGACCAGGCCCAAGAGGACGTACCGACGTGCGAACTTAACAAAGAGCCGTGGTATGTCCTGTCCTCCAGCACCTGCTCCTTCTTTGCTCCCTGTGTCATCATGATTTTGGTGTATCTCAGGATCTATTTTATAGCCAGGCGCCGGAACAGACACGGCTCTCAGGCTCAGGTGCCCAAAGAGAAAGCCGGAGACGAGGAGCCACCGAACAAGGTGAGCCCACCTGATGTTGCTCTTCCCAAGCAGGACCAGGCAAGGCCAGGAGGGAAAGTGGAGTCCAATGGACTTCAGGTCCCTCCCCAAGAAGGCGACCAAGCAGACTCCCATTCGCTCTCCACCAAAACCTTTTCTCTCCAAAGCCAGGATGGCCGAGACCCAGAGCCAGACTCTGCCGGTAGCCCTTCCCCATCCTTGCCAGAGAAGAAACCATCTTCGGAATCCAGCCCCGCGGACTGCCTGTCCCGGAACAACGTCCAGAGAAGCAACGGAGCTCCTTCCAGATCTCCACCAGCCATGGACACCTTGGCCACGGCCAGAGGGGAGGTCCTGCTGGTGAGGAAAGTGAAGACCCTCAGTGCCAACCCCTGGAAGAGGAAGACCCACCTCAACCGAGAAAAGAGATTCACCTTTGTTCTCACGGTGGTGATTGGGGTTTTTGTGATCTGTTGGTTCCCTTTTTTTTTCCTCTACAGCCTGCGGGCCATCTGCCCCTCGGACTATTGCTCCATCCCGGACAGCACCTTCAAGTTTTTCTTCTGGATCGGGTACTGCAATAGCTCCTTGAACCCCGTCATCTACACCATCTTCAACCAGGACTTCCGCAAAGCCTTCCGGAAGATTCTCTGCCGGCAGTGGACTCAAACGGCTTGGTGAGACCGGCTGCAATCCAACCGGGAGAGACAAAGAGGGAATATGGTTTGGGTCCACAGGGAACTTGGCAACTTTGTAAACAAAAGCCAGGAACCTATTTATTTGGGGCCTTTTGTGTTTGCAGGTGAGGGAGCGAGGTGAGTGTTGGATCTAACGTGGCTTTTTTAGAAAGTTTATTTTGCCTCAACAGTGGGGAAGCAAGTGTGTGTAAGTTCCAGAGAGATGAGCATGTGTAGAAACCTCTGCACATGGACATGTTTTCTGCCAATGTATGTTTTCCACTAAAATGACTTGCCAATGTCCAAAGTCTTCTGATTAATTCTTTGGAGGGAAGTTTTTTCTTCTTCTGCTTTCTGGGCTGAATGAGGGCATGATTAAAGATTGCTAACTTGGTTCACAAGCCCTATAACTCTTCAATTTACTAGGGATTGAAAGGCAAATATTAACAGGTATTTCTATGTACTGAGATTCTACAAAGAGATAAGGGGAAAATATTTACGGCTTGTTTTTGTTGCTGTTGCTATTCATCTGCGTTGCCCTCACAGGGAACTCTTAATGGCTTTGGCAATCCACGTATCGAAATATTTTGGAGTTAAAGCGTCTGACCTGGAACAAATTGCAAAATAAATCTGCACAGCGTATCTTTCAGCTCAGGAATCTGGGACAGAAAATTCACTTTCAGGGACAAAAAGATAGCAGAGGCAACAACTGCCCAAAAATAAAATGTGTGCCTTAATACTTGGTCAGTGTAGAAGAGAAAGAATGCCATTTAATCATCCCCACTGTATAAACACATAACGGAGGCAGAGGAGCAGAAGTTGGCCTCCTGGATGGTCAGTGAAATATTTGCTGATGTGGGGATTTGATCACTGTTGACCAATCCCTCTCTTGCTTTTCTCTGTGGCAGGTATGGCCATCCTTTAAAAATCAGCCGTGCTCCTAAAATCTAGCTGAGAAATCCCAAAGATTTCCACGAGGCAACTGGACTTTCTTGTGTTTTTTTTTTCCTTTGAGGACGTTTCGCTTCTCATCTAAGAAGCTTCTTCAGTTCTGAGAAACTGAAGAAGCTTCCTGGAGGAGAAGCGAAACGTCTTCAAAGAAAAAACAAAAACGGGATAACTATGACCTGGATGACTGAGAATCTCCACGGACATCATCTCGCTGAGAAAGATTTTGCTGTCGGCTTTTTTCCATATCCGTACATTTTTCTATTTCCAACTTTTTTTGCCTGTTCTTAGCACAGAAGGAGGATAAGGCTGCTGGGGTTAAAAAAAAAAAAAAAACCTCAAGAGGGTGGGTTCAGCCATATAGTCCTGGGCACTCTCTTGATCTTATGGACTTCCTCTCTGCAGAACGCAGGTACACCTCGACTTACAGCCACAGCCGAGCCCAAAATTTCCATTGCTAAGCAAGGCAGTTATGTGAGTTTTGTCCCACTTTACGACCTGTCTTGCCACCGTTGCTAAGTGGATCACTGCAGTTCTTAAGTTAGTAACACGGTTGTGCAGTGAGTCTGGCTTCGCCAGTGGCTGATTGTCAGAAGGCCACAAAAGGGGAATCTCATGACCCCGGGACACTGCGACCGTCATAAATACGATGCAGCAGTCATACGTAGGAGCTAGTTGCCAAGGGTCCAGATTCTGATCATATGACCCCCACGGGGATGCTGCAAAAGTCATAAAGGGGAGAAATGGTCATAAAGTCACTTTTTTCAGTGCTGTTGTAATTACAGTCACTAAAGGAATGCTTGTTAATCAAGGGCTACCAGCAGCAGCTGGTGTTAATCCTAAATTGCAAGCATGTGTTGATTTTTATTAAGGATCCTCTGTTTGGATGGGGTAAGGAACTTTAAAACCACTGAAACCTCTAAATCAGCTTTCTCCAACTTGGATCTGTTTAATTTATTAAGGTAGGTAACACTGATTTATTTTACAAGGTTTGCATGCATGCTGATCAGCAGCTGCCTTTGAGCATTTTGTAATCCTGCCATTGGAAAACAGGACCAGAACTAGGAAAGGTGATAAAATAGCAAACATTAACACCCGCAAAGGTAATGCAGTAGGTTGAATCTCTGCATGGATGCTATTCCAGAGAAGGGGAGCAACAATTAAGAAGGTCCACTTCTGAGAACCTACTAGATTACTTTTGTTAAGAGAGAGAACTTGGTGGGAGCCCACTTTTTCAGATCTAATGAGGAGGTAATTGGAGAACAGATCATCCTGTAGTTGTCTAAACCCCAAGCCTTATGTTGAACTAATCAAGATGGCCATTAGCAGTTGGCCCAGTGCCTCTGAAGACCAGATAGGGAAGACTTGATCTAGTAAAGAGGGTTTGATTGGCTAAACCCAGCTTGGTTGCCCTATTACACTCATATGTTGTAACAGTCATAAACCGTCATGGGACTGACTCAATTTTATGATATTATTTGCAGAGGTTGTTAAGCAAATTGTCATGATTGTTTAGCGAGTGCTGCGGTTGTTAAGATAGAACCAACGGTTTACTATGGGAGCTGTTTTGCCAAAAATGGGAAGTGTTGGTTGCCATTCCGTGCCTGTGGGATACTGCAAATGGCTGCAAACGTGACTTTATTGCCACGTACTTGATCACATGACCAACAAAGGGGCCCAACTGTTGGAACTTTGAATCAGGTTGTACGTTTCCTTTTTTGGGTAGTCATAACTTTGAACCGGTCGTAAGTTGAGAACTACCTGTACACACAAAAGATCTAGGATGGTGTTTGCTGGCTGGAGAATTCTGGGGATTGAAGCCCACATATCTTCAAGCTGCCAAGGTTGAGAAACACTGATAGGACTTTAAAATCTTGCATCAAGGAAGTAGAGGTGGAAAACTAAACATATATTAGTAGTAGTAGTAGTAGTAGTATGTGTGTGTGTGTGTGTGTACACACCAGTTACGCAACAATGGCCACAAATAGATATGAATTTGGCAAATTGCCTGGGGAAGTAAGTTCTGTAGTTCTGGAGTAACAGCTCAGAATACCTAGCCTGTATATAGCTGGAAATGTAAACACACCTTTCAATAATCGGAAGAGTGATTTGAGGTGGTGGTGGGGGGGGGGGCTTCTCTAGTTCTTTCTGCGGGGTTACACCACTAATCCAGACAGTTCTTATCTCATTACAGTGGTGGCTGGAAAACATTATAAAATGCTAGAGTGGGTTGTCTCCAGGAGGCCTACCATGAGTTGTTTTTGAAACAAGAAGAATCCTTGGCAGAGAATTCTGAGATCTGAACCCATTACATTTGCAGGAAGGGGGTGGTGATGGAGGGGTCCAGCCTGAACCACAATCATTATCAACATCATCCTCTCCTTCTCCTCCTCCTCTTCCTCCTCCTCCTGCTCTTTGAGTCCAAGCCACCAGACTAATGTCCTGTATTTCATGAGGTCTTGCAAAAAAATGACACAAATTAGGTCATTTATGATGCAAGTTGTTTAGATTGCAGTGTGAATTTGCCTGGTGACCTTATAACATACCCAGTGAAACACAAATTGCATAATAATGATATGCTGGCTAGGGAATTCCGAGAGTTGACTCTACCCATTTTAAAAGAGGTTGGTTGGCTCTGGGAATTGAGATCCAAACATCTTAAAGTTGCCAACGTTGAAAAGCACTGGGGTAAGCAGTACAAACTGTAGCACCCAGAGACAACTTGATAGCATACCTTATCTATGACTTGTTCTCAACTTCTGGCAGTTGAACTCTGCTGGAGATAATTTGAGTCTATCATCTCTAGCTGATGGACTAGCCTTATAGATGGTCTGTTGACCTCTCTTGTCAATAGCCTGGGGACCCAGATAAAGAAGTAGGTTGAGCTGCTGCATGCTAGATCATCAGCATGACATTTTGCTAATGACCTAGCAATGCAACTGCTCAGCAGCATCCTTTATCAGGGGTCAGAGAAGAGAACTCACAAGCTGCCTTTTTTATCTTAATTGTTACAAGTAGCTACACAGATAACAGACTCAGAGGCAGGACAATTCCCAGGATGATGCCCAACCAGTAACTCTTTCGAAGTGGGCGTTTGGAGTACAGTGCAAAGCTTGCTATGTAAGAGCGATTCAACAGCTTGTTAGAGTAGAGCAGAGATTTTCAAACTTGGCAACTTTAAGATGTGTTGGCTTCAACTCACAGAATTCCCAGAGTTGAGGTCCATCCTTGCATGATCTTGATTCTATGCCTCTGTTTATATAACCCAGGATTGTTTTACCCCTTTTGGCTGCTGCTGCACGCTGCTGGCTCATGGTTAAGTGATCGTCCACTAGGACTCCAATGTCCCTCTCACAGTTACTGTTCTTAAGTTAGGTCTTGCCCAATCTATATTTGCACCTTTGATTTTTCCTACCTAAATGTAAAACTTTGCTTTTCTCCACACTGAAACTCATTTTGTTGGGTAGGGCCCATTCTTCAAGTTTGTCAAGATCTTTTTGGATCCTGAGTTTGTCTTATGGGATGTTCGCTACTTCTGTCAATCTGTGTCATCTGCAAATTTGATGAGTTCCCCTTCAACTCCCTCATCTAAGTCATTTATGAAGATATTGAAGAGTACTGGGCCTACGACCGAACCTTGTGGTACCCCACTGCTTATTCTCTCCATGTGGATGTGATGCCATTGAGGACTACTCATTGAGTACAGTTTGCCAGCCAGCTACAGATCTATATGGTGGTGATGTTGTCTATTCCACCTTTTTCTAGCTTACCAAGGAGCCAATTGTGATCTACTTTATCAAATGTCTTACTGAAGTCTAAGTTTACTACGTCCACTGTGTTTCGCTGGTCTATTAGCTTAGTCACTTTATCAAAGAATGAAATAAGATTGGTTTGGCATGATTTATTTTTAACAAACCCATGCTGGCTGCTAGTTATAACTTTGCTTCTAGTTGTTCGCAGATCTTTTTTTGATTATCTTTTCCAAAATCTTCCCAGGTATTGATGTTAGACTGATTGGTCTGTAGTTTCCTGGGTCCATTTTTTTTCCCTTTCTTGAAGATGGGAACCACATCAGCCCTTTTCCAATCCTCAGGTACTTCCCTGGTGCTCCAGGATTTTTGAAAGATGTGGTGCAGTGGTTCTGAGATAACATTTACCAGCTCCTTCAGAACCCTGATGTGACAGAGTTTGACTCCTGTCCCCCAATTAATTAGGTTTTGCAGTTCTTGAATTCTAGGGAGAATGATTAGGTCCACTCTTCCCTCTGGATGATGCATTTTGTAGTTAAGGGCGCCTCTCTTACTCCAGTATTGATTAGGTGAGCCACTTCACGTAAGAGCCCAAGACTTAATGGA